TAATAATAATAATAATAATAATAATAATAATAATAATAATAATATTAATTATTATTATTATTATTATTATTATTATTATTATTTATTTTTTCTATGCACCTTCCGTATTACATCAAAAATTCCAAATACTAGTTTTTCTTAACACAAATCAAGAGCGAACTGGGATTGACTTAGTTCGGTCCAGTAGCAAAGGGTGCTGAATTTAGTTTTGATAATTATTTCAACAATTTTTTCTTCAAAAAATCGGCGTCATAACTCAAAGACAAGTTAGCCCATTAGCTATCATTTGAAAGATAAAGCAACCTGGCAGAAACTTACCTTAATATTCACTTAGGTGATATCAAATGTTTTTTTCGTCGTGACAAAAAAACCTTTTTAGTAATTTTATTCAAAATGGACTGTACGCACGTGCTATGTTCGCGAGGGGAGATCTATTGTTGAATTGTCTTGTTTAGATATATTGCTTTTACTTAAAAAATAAATGAACGAAAATATAGGTATATTCAGTATATTTTGAATTAAATTAAAACAATAAAAAGGTACTTGGAGAAAATTATGTAAAATAATTGCAAATTTTTGATATATTGCTTTACTTAAATATAATAATAAATTTAATAATAATAAATTTATTTTCATATAGCGTAGAATGCTATAAACCTCTATGCGCTTTACATTAAAAGCAAAAGCCGGAACAGAATAAAAAGAAAAGATGATAAAAGAGTAAGCGAAAATCTTTTGCAATCAAAACAAAAAACAGGTTAATTTTATGATTAATTTTTATTTATTAATACATTTGTAAATATATTTTTTATAATATTACTGTTTAATTATTTAAATGTCAACCAAGTTTTTATCTCAATTACCTCCTCATTTCATTTTCTTTACTCTTTTAAAATATTATTTTTAGATTTTCATCGATTAAAAATCAATGAACGAAGATATAGACTTATTCAATATAATTTCGAATAAAAGTAAAACAACAAAAATGTACTAGGAGAAAATGTAATGAATTAGTACAAAAATCAATAGATTATAACAAAAATTAAAACAAAATTTATCGTTTAGGCATAGGTAGCGTTCAACTGTGTAAAGGATTTCAGAAACGAAAATCTGGAAAAAAAATCACCCCAGATATATTATAGTTATAATCTTGTAGATTACATAATTATTATGTTCTCTCATTCCTCCATAGTTCTATACATCAGTATAATTGTTACAGTTATCGTCAGTTTATTCATCATTATCACCACCCCCACCAAAATCACCATCATTATCGTCTTCTTCACCATCATCATAATTCTAATCGTCTTCATCATCATCATTATCATCATCATCTCCATCATCATTATAATTATCATAATCATCATCATTATCATCTTCATCACTATCATCATTATTATCATCATCATCATAATCATCCTCATTATTATCATAATATTCAGAAAATATCAACGGATGTATTATCTAATGTAGAGATTTTTATGAGTGTTACACGATAACTTGGCATTTTACTGTTTACTGTACCTTTCTTAATAGCTAAGCTGGATGGATTGACCTTTGACAAACGGACAGTAAAATCATTTAAAGTAATCATCATTTATATTATTTATTCATTCAGGAAAACAATTACAAAACAATACAAAGCACACCTTTACATAATATATAAATAATAGTGATTATCAAATAAATGCGTAATAACGATTACACCCCTTAACAACTTTTATACGGCTACGCAATTGTTACTATAATTAGTGTACATTTATAGTTGCATGCTAAGAAAACGCAAGCACTTTTGTGGGTTTTTTTATGGACAGACTCCATAATGTCGACGCATGTTTTACCGTCTTCAAATTCATTGAATATTTCGACGGGTATAATTATAGTCTGCCATTATCCAGCGCATTTATCTGCATTTTGTGGAAAAATGTATAGGCATTCTCTAAAATTTCAAGACACTTCTTGTTCATAAGACGCAGTTGTGCTGCAGATAGAAAGCTGAAGAACTTAATTTGATTTAGCTGAATGAAACTGGGAGAAAAATGTATAGTAAAGTATAATTAGTCCAAAACAAATGATACAATGGAAGGGGAATTAAATATCTTTAATAAGGATTACAATCATTTGTGAAAATGTTTTTCATTGTGGTCTTGGATATAAACGAGAGAAAGATCATTATACTTTTGTCAACATTATCGTCATCATTATTACTATCATCGTAATGTTATTATCAAAATCGTCACATTTGGAAAAGCTTCAATATACGTGGATAATATGTTTTTAGCAATATTTTAATTACATAATTGCTTAGGAAATTAGTTAAAGAATGATAATTTTTTTAGTATCGTATATCTGGATGGTTTGCCCCATGTATAGAATGTCAGTGAAATCATAAATGAATCAATCATTTAAAAAATGAATATTATACAGAAGTATATTTTACCTTTAAATCGCGTACATACGTTGAAAAAACTAGCATATATTATGAAGGTTTGGATAACACGTATGGTAGTGATTTCCCACTTGGTGACTCGTTATATAGTAACAAAGAGGAATTTCCAAATAAATATCAATAAAACAATCCTTATACTGTCGAATCTTGGACCACAATAGTGCATTAATGATTATTATAAGACGGGTGGCGCCAGGATTGGCCCGATGGGGGTCCAATGTCCCCTACGGAGGGGGTCGACTCCCGAACGAGTACGTAAGTGGACGTGATCGTATGAAGACTAATTTAAACGATTTTATGTCTATTAATATGTAAAAAAAAAATATTTGTTTTACTTTTCCCAGACAAAGTGTGTTTTTTCCCAGAAGGGAGGCCAGCTCTCCACGACGGAGGCCCGTCCTCCCTCTCCTTTAGCCCACAACTGGTGCCACCCCTGATTTATAACCAATACACTGACTCTTATAAACTTATATACAAACACACACACACAAAAAAACCAATTATAATATATTTTTGGATTTAGAAAGGTTAGTTTTTTCTTTGTACATCTCGATATTAATATTAATAACCTACTAAGACACGTATTAATGTCATCGAATAATTTGACTGGTATAGTAGGCCAATATCTACAACTAATCACACGGTAATTTTTGTGAGGCTGGCTGAGAACAAGATTCTTACCTGTAATTTGTGGAATGGATACCGTATAGGCTTATACAATCACGCATGTTGTGTTACAGTTAGAATGCAGAAGAGCAACACAAAGAAACTGTGACGAATCCTTAAACAATCACATTTTTTTAATTACTGTATGTATTTTGTAATTGTAAAATATTTCAAACGAGTGACTCTCAAAGTATTATAGTTATCAGTGTGGCAATACACCGTTGGCTAGAAAATTAATACTGTAAAAGTAGGATGCTGGGCATCCACTATCAGCCTCATCATGGTTGTTGAACAACTTTTTTGCAACTCTGAATGTCCGGAAATAAATGCTGACAAAATGTAGAGCGGCGCTAGCCCCTCCCCTCAAAGAAATAAAATTAACACGGCGATAGGGTCTATGTTGGAAATACATGGTACCTCTGGATGCCTGGAAATACAAGCTGGCAAACCTATATAGCCACCACCCCTCCCCATCCTGTCTATTTGGCAGACAAAGATTTAAAGGACTAGAGATATACCCACCTCTGCGCCATATGTTTTAGGCCAAGTTGAGCAAAATGTTTGCATCATAACTAAGATATTGTAATGAAAATATGTAGTACAATATATACTGTACATCGTACATTTACTAAATTTATCTACTGTATATTGAAATATTTCCTCCCAGCGTACACTATATTCCATATTCGAAGTTTCGTGGCATGAATATATCCCCATAGCAGGCTTCAGGGTGTGTGAATAATGTTCATGAGGTACTCTCCCACATATAATACTAATAGGAAGATTTTTTTAAAGGGCATCTTATTCTTACTGGTATGACTGGTATAAAAAAAATGGTATAAAAATAGAGATAATAAAGGCCTATGCCCTGTACATGATGCTAAAGAGTGGGCACAGAAAAAAGCATCCAGGTTAAAAATGCTATATCTGGACACAAAATGTGGTAGCATTGACCAAATTACAATTCGTAAGATTATTTTAAATCATGGGAATAGACAACTGTTGGTCTACTGCAAAAATGATATATTGTTCAAAATGTAATTAAGTTGCTTATTCCTCCATGAATAAATAAAGTGCAGGAAACACGAATATGAACAAGGAATAACAATGATAACTGCAATTATATCTACACGACGTGCAGTATTGAGTAACATTAACAATATGCAATTAATTAAATAGGCCTAGAACATATTCTATGAATACACATGATACAGTATGCTATGAATTATCTATGAAAATATAGTAGGCCTCCTATGCCTACACAAATAGCGTCGCATTTCGACAAACTTACTGTTTGTACAATTTAATTTACACTTACC